TGTGGAGGTAGTTCCCTTCTGTTCCTAAATTCACTTTCTTGTCATGAAAGGGTGTTGGATTTTGTCAAATGGTTATTCTTCATGTATGAAAATGGTCATGTAGTTTTTTTATTATACTGATACAATATATTACATTAGATTAACAATCTAATTTTGGAATTCCAGGGATAAATCCCACTTAATCATGGTATGTAATTATTTTTATATGTTCCTAGTGTACCAGTGTTTTGTTTAGATTTTTTGCATCCATATTCATAGAAGATATTAGCGGTAGTTGCCATTTATTGTAATGTCTTTTTCTGATATTACTATCAAGTTAGTATTGGCTTCATAAAATGAGTGGAGAAGTTTTCTCTCCTTTTTTACATCTTGAAGAGTTGGTGAAGAATTAGTATTCTGCTTTAAATGTTTCATAGAACTTAACAGTGAAGCTATGCAGACCTGGGCTTTTCTTTATGGGTTGTTTTAAAAATAATTGTTTACGTGTTATAAGATTATTCAAATATTCTGTCTTCATGAGTAAATTTGAAAGTTTGTGTGTTTCTATGAATTTATCCAGTTCATCTGGGTTTTCTGATTTCTTGTGCAGTTGTTCATCTTATTCCTTTGTAATCAATTTTCATTTCTGTAAAGCTGGTAATACTGTCCCCTCTTTCACTTATGATTATAGTAAAGGGAGTCTTCTCTCTTCAGTCATTCTAGATTATCTAAACATTTGTGAACTTTTAAAAACTTTTCATAAAACTAGCTTTCAGTTTCATTTATTTTGGGGTATTTTTCCTATTTGATATCTTTACTCTTTTCCCAGTGACTTAAGGAGGGAGGTTAGATTTGACCTAGATATTTACTTTTAATTATAGGCACTTTAAGCTTCAAAAGTTTTCCTCTAATCATTAATTGCATGTCATAAATTTTGGTATGTTGTGTTATTCACAAGATATTTTCCAGTTTTCCTTTTCATTTTTGATGTGTTATTTAGGAGTGTTTTGTTTAAATTCCATATGTTTTTGAGTTTCCCATTTTTCTTTCTGTTATTTCTTATTTTATTATGGATAGGCAAAACCTTTTTTAAAAAAATATTAGAGAGCATGCGTGTGCAAGCAGGAGGAGGGGCAGTGGGAAAGGGAAAGAGAATCTCAGTCAGACTCTCAGCTGAGCACAGAGCCTGACGCAGGGCTCTCAGTCTCACAACCCTGAGATTATGACCTGAGCTGAAATCAAGAGTCAGCCACTTAACTGAAGCCATCCAGGTGCCCCAGTAAATAAATAAATCTTAAAAAAATAAAAAGAACTTTCTATTTCTCCCCTCAATCCTGTCAATTGTTGCTTCATGGCATATGTGTTCATAGTTGTGTCTTCTTGTAGGCAGACCCTTTTATCAACATAGGTTTCTTTGTCTCCTGTAAGAATACTGACTTAAAGCCTGTTTGGTCTCATGTTATAGCCATCCAGCTCTTTGATGACTACTGGTATGCAATATACTTTTCCATCCTTCTATTTTCAACCTATTTATATATTTGGATTTGTCATCAGTTTGTTGTAATTGAATACAGTTACACCATATTTTCTACCCATTTTGCCAATTTCTGCCTTTCAGTTGAAAAGTCTAATCCATTTGCATTTAATAATGTAATAACTGAAGACTTGCTTCTACCAGTTTCTACTTGTTTTCTATATACACTGTATCTTCTTTACTTTTCTGTTCCATTGATTTTTTTTGTAGTTTATCATTTCACTCCTTTTTTATTTCCTATTCATTATACCATTTAGTCATTTTCTTAGCATTTATCCTGTAGATTTCAATTAAAAATTTGTATTTATAATGAACTAGTTTGAAATAAAACCACCTTTATTCAGGGGTCCCAAGACCACTTTCAGTTTCAATGATTTGCTAGAAGGATTCACAGACATCAGAAAAGCTATTGTACTCATTTTTTTTCCCCAGTGACAGGATACAGATTAAAATCATTAAATGCCAGATATTCCAGGGACTAGAGGTAATCTACCAGGAGCTGGTTAAAGGCCTACACTTTGCTTGGAATGGGCAGGGCTTAAACATTTCAGACCTGCTGAGTCAAACCTTCACTGTACAGCAATTTAGCTTTAATAGTATAGAAAAGTTTAGCTCCTATAACTGCTCCAATCTTCTTTTCTTTTTTTTTTTATATAAGGTTTTATGTTCATTCTTTTTTTTTTTTTTGAAGATTTTATTTATTTATTTGACAGAGAAAGACACAGCAAGAGAGGGAACACAAGCAGGGGGAGTGGGAGAGGGAGAAGCAGGCCTCCTGCCGAGCAGGGAGCCCGATGCGGGGCTTGATCCCAGGACCCTGGGATCATGACCTGAGCCGAAGGCAGACGCTTAACGACTAAGCCACCCAGGCGCCCCTCCAATCTTCTTTTCTAATGTTGTTTTAGTCCCAGATTATATTTTTATACATTGTGTGCCCTTTAAATAGGTTTATAATTATGTTTTATGCAGGTCTTTAAAGACATTGCAAAAAAGGAGGAACAACAAACACAAAATACAGTATTATTGGATTATATATTTGCCTTTCAGTTGTCCTCACCATTGTTATTTCTTTTAGCTTTATTGAGATATTATTGACATGTAACACATTAGTTTTAGGTGTACAACATGATTTAATATATGTATATATTGCAAAATGATTACCAAAATAAATTCAGTTAACATCCATCACCTTCTGATAACTTTTAAGATTTACCATTTTAGCCACTTTCAAACATACAACACAGTATCAAGTATAATTACTATGCTATACATTAACATCCTCTTGGCTTACTTTATAATTGGAAATTTGTACCTTCCTTGACCACATTCATCCATTTTGCCCACCCACATTCCCCCTACCCCCCCGGAAACCACCACTATGTTGTATCTGTGAGGTTGTTTTGTCTTTTAAGTCTTAATTCCAGATATAAGTGAGATCATTGAGTATTTTTCTTTCTCTCATTTACTTCAGCTAGCATAATGCCCTCGAGGTCAATTCAAGTAGTTGCAAATGGCACAATTTCCTTACCTTTTTATGGCAGAATAATATTCCATTCTGTATACACACCAAATTTTCTTTAACCATTCAACCATCAGTGAACATTTAGTTTGTTTCCATGCCTTGTGTATTTTAGATAATGCTGCAGTGAACATATGGGGTGCAGAAATCTTTCTGGAAGCTTTCATTTCCTTCAGATAAATACTCAGAGGTGGAATTGCTTAGATCATATGGTGGTTCTATTTTTAAATCTTTGAGGAACCTGCTGCACCGTTTACATTCCCAACAGTGCAGAAGGTTTCCCTTTTCTCCACATCTCACCAACACTTGTTACTCATTGTCTTTTTGATAACAGCCATTCTAACAGGTATAAGGCAATATCTCATTGTGGTTCTGTATTGCATTTCCATGACGATTAATGATATGGAGCACCTTTTCATGTATTTGTTTACCATTTATATTTTTGGGGAAAATGTCTATTCAGATCCTGACCATTTTTTAATTGGATTATGTCTTTTTTTATACTGAGTTGTAGGAGTCCTTTATATATTTTGGATATTTAACCCCTATAAGGGGTTAAATATAGGATTAGAGATATAGGATTTGCACCTATTTTTAGTGGTTGATCCAGAGCTTAATGTATATATCTAATGAGAAACAGCTTTCCATATATACTAAAATCCCATGAGATAGAGAAGTGTTACTTGTCTTTTAAAAAGTATGAGAACAAAAAGGGGAACCCTCCTACACTGTTGGTGGGAATATAACTGGTGCAACCACTCTGGAACAGTATGGAGGTTCCTCAAAAAGTTGAAAATGGAGCTACCCTGTGATCCAGCAATTGCACTACTGGGTATTTACCCCAAAGATACAAAGGTAGTGATCTGAAGGGGCACCTGTACCCCAATGTTTATAGCAGCAGTATCCACAATAGCCAAACTATGGAAAGAGCCCAGATGTCCGTCGACAGATGAATGGATAAAGAAGATGTGGTGTATATATACACAATGGAATATTACACAGCCATCAAAAATTGGAATCTTGCCATTTGCAGTGACGTGAATGAAACTAGAGGGTTAACACCCTTATTTTGCTGAGCAAAATAAGTCAATCAGACAATTATATGATCTCACGGATATGTGGAATTTAGGAAACAAAACAGGATCATAGGGGAAGAGAGGAAAAAATGAAACAAGATGAAACCAGAGAGGGAGACAAACCATAAGAGACTCTTAATCATAAGAAACAATCTGGGGGTGCCTGGGTGGCTCAGTCATTAAGCATCTCCCTTTGGCTCAGGTCATGATCCCAGGCCCCGCATCAGCCTTCCTGCTTGCTTTTCCCTCTACCACTCTCCCTGCTTGTGTTCCCTCTCTTGCTGTGTCTCTCTCTGTCAAATAAATAAATAAAATCTTAAAAAAAAAAAAAGAATCTGAGGGTTGCTGGAGGGGAGGGGGGTGGAAGGATGGGGTGACTGGGTGATGGACATTAAGGAGGGCATGTGATATAATGAGCACTGGGTATTATGTAAGACTGATGAATCACAGGCCTATACCTCTGAAACCAGTAATATATGTTAATTGAATTTAAATTTTTAAAAAAAGTATGAGAACAAAAGAAAACCTGTAATATATCTATGTCTTTTGTTATCTTAATCTTATAATTTTCAGTAAGCTCTACAGTCAGCATGGTGCTCAAACTCACAACCCCAAGATCAGAGCCACATGCTATGCCTACTGAGTCAGCCAGTTGCCCCTTATTTACTGTTTTTTATTTTTTTGATTTGATATTGTGGATTTGAAGTACCATATATTCATTTACTTACCAATTTGGCTTTGCTTTTACCCACCTCCTTTGTGTTATTAGCAGAAATATTATACTTTTATATGTTACAGGCCCAATAATATTTTATACAGTTGATATTCAAAATGGTTAAGTGAAAGGGGAAAAAATACACGTACATACTGCCTGTGAAAATCAAATACTCACCTCCAGTGAGTCTTTCAGTCTTTTATCAAAACTTTGCTGTTTTTGAGAATGTCCTTAGGCTTGAACTGTCCATAGTTACGAGTGAAGTAATTTCCTTTGGAGAGGGAGATACAGGTCTCTCGTCTATGGCCTGCTTCTCCCCCTGGACAGAATCACAGAGCCAAAGGTCTAGTGCTTGGGACAATAGCATGCTTCACTCTGAGTCACACCTCTGCTTTTAGGAACTGAGTACTTGGGTAGATTGGGGGTGGCGGGGGTACAGCAGCCATAAGTTGCAATTTGCCCTCAGCATGATCCATGGCAGACAACTGGAACCCCCGTATTCTTACCACTGCCACACCCAGGGCACGTATTACGTTTTGTGTTTGGCTGCTAGACAGAAGAAAATCTATCCCTTAGCTGCATTTTCCTAAGCAATAGGCGGATGGGGGCAGAATGAGAAATGTTGATGTCCTCCTCCTCCCAGGAAGGTGGCCATCTATCTGGGAGCATGGGTTGATGAGTGGTGAGGAAGCCCTGACTGTACCAATATGGAATAGAGTATTTTTCTCACTCAGATGGGATGAACAAGGAATGGTTTTGTTCAGATACCGTAGAATTTCAGCTTGTAATCAGTTTTAGTAGATTTTCTTGAACAAATTTTTTTTCATTTGCTATATATTTTTATATATAATTTTCACCAGTTTTGACGGAGGAGCATGTCATCGGAGTTCCTCACACTGTCATGGCAGAAATGGAATTCCCAGAGCAATTCTTTACAGTTCTAAGCATGGATCATGTAAGTTGCTGGATCTGTCTCCTTTGTGAACATTTCCTTTTTCTGAACCTTCCTACCAAATAGAGCCTGCCCCACATTCCCATAGTTTTTCACTCTCTAGTAAGAGTTGGAACCACACATAACAGTATAACTCCTGTGTGCCTATCTATTCTCCAGATCTTCTACCGCAGGCCTACCAGGTTACTGTTTAGTGTACCTGCCATAATGCAATTCTTTTCTTTTTTCTCAAAAATATTTCCTTCAATTTCATCTATATATGGTTTGTTGTTTCAGGAATTGGTGACATTCAGGGATGTGGTCATCAACTTCTCTCAAGAGGAATGGGAATGTCTGGATTCAGCTCAGAGGGACTTGTATTGGGATGTGATGATGGAGAACTATAGCAACTTGGTCTCACTGGGTAAATTTATCTGCTTCATATAATTTAGAATATGTGCTATTGAATATCAGTTGCTTTTTAGTAAACCCAAGGCTATCTTTTAAAAAAGTAGCTACCTGTCCCTCAAAAAAAAGGTTTATGAAATGCTGAGCCTTAGGTTTCATAGACGTGTTGGTACACTAAGAATTCTGCAGCAGAATATTTTTAAACATTCGCAGTTTTTGTAAGCTATATTTTTGTATATTTAATTGCTATTTTAAAATTTTAATGCATTTTTGGCTAATTACTCCTGTTTTCAAAACAAAACATGCATGTAATTGAAGTAAACAAATGTAAATAAAAAACAGGTTTTGAAAAAAAAAAAAAAAGTAGGTACCTGTTTCCAGAGGCATGGTTGAACATTGGGTTAGAGATGACACCTCCATTAAGCACATTCATCATTCTTCATGATGTTTGTATCTTCTCAGTCCCTTCATATTTCTACTTTCCCTGATACCCAGGGAGTTTAATTTGAATTTTAGAAGACATACAGCATAGGGAGCCTGGGTGGCTCAGTCGTTGGGCGTCTGCCTTCAGCTCAAGTCATGATCCCGGGGTCCTGGGATCAAGCTACGCATCAGCTTCCCTGCTCCACGGGAGGCCTGCCTCCCCCACTCCCCCTGCTTGTGTTCCCTCTCTCCGCTGTGTCTTTCTCTGTCAAATAAAATCTTAAAAAAAAAAAAAAGACATATAGCACATCCTTTGAGATAGCTCTTATATTGGGTTCTAAGTCAGAATTGCTACAAATGCTTTGCTATTTTCTTTCCCACCTTCTTGAAGAGTAGCTAGGAAACGGTGTCCTGATTTGTTATGATTATTAAAAGAATGCATAATTTATATGTTAGATGGATAAACAGAATTCATGTTCATTGCCTCACATCTATTGTCTTATACCTGTTTTGTGGTTAAAGAATTTCGCATTTAACATTTGTCAGTATTCCAGCAAGGGTCTTTTAATGTTTTAGAAAGCTACCTGTTTTCCTGTCAGATCACATAGATCTTGGCATGTACCAGGCCCTATTCTAAGCACTTTTAATATATTGAATCTTTTAATTCTTCAGTAACCCTATGACATGAATACTTGTATTATTTTGCTAAGGCAAAAAGTATTTAGGCAACTTCTCCAGGGTTACACAGCTAATTAGTATCAAAAGGAGGCTTTCTACCCAAGTAGTCTGACACAAAAGCTGATGTTGTTAACTGGTACAATAAATTGCCTCACAAGACAAAGAGTTGGAATGGGTTTGAATAAAGATCTCTTTATATAATTCTATGGTCACTCTAAGGTGAATGGTCTTTCAGTCTCCTCACATTTCTCTTCTCTGAAATCTATCAGTATCATTTCAACTTCATTTATCAAAACTTAACCAGTTCTCTTAAGTGTTCTATATAATTGTAGTTCTTTTTTTTATACCTTATGTTACATTTCTTTGTCGTAAGCAGGTTGTTCCATTTTTAAGCCATTTGTGATCACCTTATTGGAGGAAGGGAAAGTTGTTCTGGAGGGTTGTAAGGGATATGACAAGAACAGAGGGCCAGGTGAGTGAGGGCTGGTAAGAGAGGGAAAGCCATCACCAGAGTAAAAAGCCCAGCTTCTTGGGGAAGAGGTGGGTCCTTGTGATGTTTTTGGGAAACTCCCTTTAAAACCCTGTGGAAAAAAGCCCAACACTTTGGGAAGCCAGTTAAGGTCTTTCTTAGTGCAACCAACATTTTTTCCATGTTGCTTTCTATTTGGATTTATATAAATTCTCTTGACAAAAAACCATGGGCATTTATATATTTAACATTTAATCATTGTCTACACTGAGATAAATATTATGGTAGCCCTATCAGTACAATGGTGAGGAAAAAATGATACAGTTCTTGCTTTATGAAATTGACTCACTAGTGAGATGTATAATAAACAGGAAAACAAATAATTAGAAAATGTATCATATATAGTGGTAAGTGCTATAAAGAAAAGTAAAAAACAACAAAGGAATAAAGAATGAGGGAGAAAGCAAATTCACACAGTATGGTCAGAAGGATAGCTCTGAGGGGCGCCTGGGCGGTTCAGTCGGTTAACCATCCTACTCTTGATATCACCTCACATTTTGATCTCAGGGTTGTGAGTTCAAGCCCCGACGGAGCCTACTTAGAAAAAGAAAAATCTCTGTGGTCTTAGCTTGTCATTCTATGAATATATTGTTCCTTATTAATAATTTGCCTAATGATTTTTACAATGAAAAATCTTCATTTAGATCAGTGTTTTCTTCTAAGTCCCTCATTCCTTCTGCATTTATTGGTTGCCCTCATGTTCTGTTAACAGCAGGAGTGTTTATGTTCTTCCTACGATTGTAACTGATAAGCGACTTAAAATGGTGCATCTGAAATTTTCTTTCTCTTGTTTGTCTCATTATGGTTTTTTTAAATTGGTTTTTGATTCAGTTTACTTTAGCTCACCAGTCTTAGTTCTTGATGCCCAGTTGTATGGATATCAAGAAATTTCTTATGGTGATTTTTGTGTATCTCTGACTCAGTCCTTTAATCTTTAAATATATTCTTGCTTTTTGAGACTTTCCCAGCCTCACCCTATACCTTCCCTATACTGCACCAGACACCTGAATTGGCGAAAAGTGTGTTCTTCTGGTCTTTTAAGTTGTGTGATTTCTGTTGTAGTTAAAAAAAAAAAAATCAATACTAGGTATTAATTTTACTTATTTACTTAGCATATTTTAGTACACAAAGGTTTTTTTCCCCTTTGATTCTTGTATAGTCAAATGGTGGTCTCCCTTAGCTCCTTCAGGTGATTTGCATGTCCAATAAGAATGATGCAACAGTTAAAGCATGTCTCCATGCCTTCCATCCTCACACCATAGTAGTGTGTCTATATTCAGATTTCTTGCTTTCTGTCACAACAATCAAGGGCACATCTCCCTTCCCTACACCAGATCATGAGTTGGGTCTTTCTTTTAGGAGCCCTAGCTCGTTACATGTTTTACTACCACAACCTGAGCAATGGGCCTGCTTATGATTTTTTGTTTCATGGGAGGTGAGTCTCTTAACAGTTTTATCTGTCTAGCAAATTGGTCTTTTTCAATTTTTATGGCTCCTGGGGTTTCTAATATCTATTTACCTAGAAAATAATTCACCCTTTTCATTCAGTAATTCAACATTTTCAAATTGATTAGCATAGCAGTCTTAAAACATTTTAGAAAATACCTTCTCTGATGGTTTTCTCTTTTATCATTTTTTGTATTTGTTATTTATATTTCTTCTGTGTTTTCTAGCTATATCTGATTCTGTATTTATTAAATTCCCCCCTCACCTTTTCTTTAGGTCACTTTGTTGTTTCCTGTCTTCTTGATTGGCATGTATACATTACTTATTTTCATTTTTTCCTTATTAACATAATCATTTAAATCCTTACTTTTTGTGTGACTAATGCTGACTTCCATAGATTTTAATATGTAATACAGTTGACCCTTCAACAACACAGGTTTGAACTGTGTGGGTCCACTTAAACGTGAATTTTTTGATAAAGGTAGTACAGTACTGTAAATTTTTTTTTTTTTAAGATTATATTCACTTGACAGAGCAGAAGCAAGGGAAGCAGCAGGCAAAGGGAGAGGAAGAAGCAGGGAGCCCGATGCGGGGCTCAATCCCAGGACCCTGGGATCATGACCTGAGCCTAAGGTAGATGCTCAGCTGACTGAGCCCTCCAGGTGCCCCTCTTATGTTTTTCTTAACATTTTTTTCTTTAGCTTACTTTATTGTATGAATACAGTACCTAATACATATAGCATACAAAATATGTATTAATCAACTGTTACTGGAAAGCTTCCAGGCAGTAGTAGGCTATTAATAGTTTGGGGTGAGTCAGAAGTTATATGATGATTTTTGATTGTGCAGGGCAGTGGCACCCTAATCCCAGTTTCAAGGGTCAACTGTATTTTCAATGGGATCATTCTCAGAAATTTTTGTAATTTCAATTACATTTCCACATTTGGTAGAAAGTTTTTTCATTTCTAGGTAGAAGTGCTTTTTAATTTACTAATACTGGCATTCATTTACAATTTTATTCTAATCAAATAATGATTGCATTATTATACCTTTGTTACTTATAACATAATTCAGTCACAGGAATTATTTTTGCACTGTATCATGGAATGTTTAGCATTCATTTTGGATTTTCCTCAGGTTATCCCTTCATCTAATTGCCAATCTCCAGCCAATGTTCAACAGATTGTTTTTTACAAAGTTCCTTCCATTCTTGCCCACCTATACCACCTTTTCCACATCATTCTGTTAGCTTTTTCCCCTTTCAGAATTGCATAAGCTTTATAGTATGATTTATACATACTATAATATCAAAAATACTCTGAAACTGCCTTGCAGAGTATAACAATCATTGACTTTGAGTACAGGAAAATGAAAGAGCATGAAGGAAAATTAAAATATAGACTAGGATTTCAGTAGGATAGATGTGTGATAGTGAAAAAGCTAATGAAGAACAGTAAGTAAAATTCCTCATCTTTATTGACAGGTGGGGTAAAGAAAATCATGGTTATGCACAGCAGGGAATTAACAGCAGTGATGGAGACAGTATGTGTAAGTGGAGAGTCAATTAGAAAAAATTATTCATAAACACTACTTGTGTGTGTGTATAAATCACTGCAGTATAGTGTGAAGGTTGGAAGGAATGGAGGCATACTTAAACTATTGCATCATTCTTATATGTATATAACTGTTTTGATGATCAACTGTGTTACCCAGTGACTGATCTTTATAATATTTCCTTTTTGTCTTAATTAGATTCTTTTCATCCAGTGATTTAATTTCCCTGTAATTATCAACTTAAATGTCCTTGGGGCTTGTTATTCAGTGGCATATAATGATTATATTTCTCCTTTTGGAATTTAAGGAGTAAGGCTAAACAGCGTAACAGCAGAAGATTACTGAATACACAGCTGAAAAAAAATAATGTGAGGCAACTAGAGCAACTAGATATTGGAACAGAAACATAAATATGAACTTACAATCAGTACCTCATTTCTGAGGATAGTAACTTAGATCTGGACGGTAAAATGTGGGTAGTATATAAGTGGTATATAAAGGACCCATTTCTAAGCAATGAAACATCCTGTGGGTGGAAATTATATTTGTTGTAAGAGGTCAAAAAAAGATTAGGTGAAAAGGGATAATGGATTAAGATGAGGTCTTACAAGTACCTTGTTATCCACAATAAAGTATTTGGATTCTCTTGTTAAAAAAACAAACCAGGGCGCCTGGGTGGCTCAGTCAGTTAAGTGTATGCCTTTGGCTCAGGTCATGATCTCAAGGTCCTGGGATTGAGTCCCATGTTGGGCTCCCTGCTCAGTGGGGAGTCTGCTTCTCCCTCTCCCTCTGCTGCTCCCCCTGCTCATGCTCTCTCTCACTTCCTCTCTGTCTCAAATAATAAAAATAAAATAAAAAATCTTAAAAAAAGAAAAAAGAAAAAAAGAAACCAACCTCAGGTGCTTGGGTGGCTCAGTCAGGTAAGTGTCCGACTCTTGATCTCAGTTCAGGTTCTTGATCATAGGGTCGTGAGTTCAAGCCCTGCATTGGGCTCCCCAACAAAAAACAAAACCAAAATTGTTAGTATGTATAGATTATCAAATTACAATCTGCATTAGCTATATCTATACATGATATTGATAACTAGTTCTACATCTGTACATGTTGGTCAGTTTACCTGGATTGGTTCCCAAACATTAGTACTGTCAACAAGTTCACAAAGTGATGATCAGCACCTAAATGTAAGACCCACTGACTTTATCTGTTTCCCTTATCGCAAACCTCAGAATCTTACATTATGCTTTCATCATTCTCTGATCTTTCTTAAGACTTCATTGAGGTATTTTAATTATTCACTTGTATTGTTTGTAAGTTGCAGTTTTTCTCCTCCGCATTTTATGAATGTTTCATTTTTATGGCACATGAAAACAAAAATTGTGTTTCTTTTCCTCCTGTCTTTCAGATTTGGAGTCCAAGTATGACACAAAGACTAGAAAGGACATCACTGGTTCTCAGTGGAAAGTCACAGAAAGTAAATTCATTGGTCTTGAGAGCTCCGTTTTCAGAAATGACTGGCAGAGCAAAAGCAAGACTGAGGTACAAAGACCTGAACTGGGATATTTCAGCCAAATGAAAATCAACTCTGAAAAAGTGCCCAATTACAAACATCAGAAGTCTCTTATATCACATCAGAGAATTCATGATAGCAAGAAGCCCCATGCATATAAGGAATATGGGAAGGTGCTTAGCTGTGACTTCAATTTTGATGAGTATGAGAGAATACATACTGGTGAGAAAACATATCAATATAATGCATATTGGAAAACCTTTGGAGATGACCCACATACCCTACAACTGAATATACATAGTGGTGTGAAACCTTGTAAATATATGGAATATGAGAATGCATTTAGTTTTTATGAAGACCTTAGTATACAGAAAATGCATGATAATCAGAAGTGCTATAAATGTAAGGAATATGAAAGGACCATTAGAAGAGTTGAAGAAATAACTCCACTTCAAATAATTCGTGATGGTGAGAAACCCTATGAATGCACTTTCTGTGGAAAATCCTTTAGAGTGCATGCACAACTTACTCGACACCAGAAAATCCATACTGATGAGAAACCTTACAAATGTATGGAATGTGGCAAGGACTTCAGATTCCATTCACAGCTAACTGAACATCAGAGAATTCATACTGGTGAAAAACCATACAAATGTATACAATGTGAGAAAGTCTTTAGAATTAGTTCACAGCTTATTGAACATCAGAGAATTCATACAGGTGAGAAACCTTATGCATGTAAAGAATGTGGGAAGACCTTTGGAGTCTGTAGAGAACTTGCTCGACATCAGAGAATTCATACTGGAAAGAAACCCTATGAATGCAAGGCATGTGGAAAGGTCTTTAGAAATAGTTCATCCCTGACTAGACATCAAAGAATTCATACTGGTGAGAAACCCTATAAATGCAAGGAATGTGGGAAAGCTTTTGGAGTAGGTAGTGAACTTACTCGACACCAGAGAATTCACAGTGGTCAGAAACCTTATGAATGTAAAGAGTGTGGAAAGTTCTTTAGACTTACATCAGCACTTATTCAACATCAGAGGATTCACAGTGGTGAAAAACCTTATGAATGTAAAGTATGTGGGAAGGCTTTCAGACATAGTTCAGCCCTTACTGAACATCAGAGAATTCATACTGGAGAGAAACCTTATGAATGCAAGGCATGTGGGAAGGCCTTTAGACATAGTTCATCCTTTACAAAACATCAGAGAATTCATACTGGTAAGAAACCCTATGAATGTAAGGAATGTCTGAGTGCCTTTAGTGTGGGTAAGCACCTTACTTGATATCAAAAAAGTTGTACTGGTGTTTTGTCTTGAATGAAAGACATGTACAAAAGCCTTTTGCTTCTGAGTTTCACTGGGAAAGTCCATGCATTATAATATGAAATAATCAAGGGGCCAATGTTCCTCTTATTGTTTCCAGACTTCCTGGCCCCTCTATTTACAAGTAGAATTGCTCAGTGATAGGTGATGTATACTTTGTTTTGTTCGATATTGCCAAATATTTGTTTTTATTTCTCCTTTTCATATCAGTTAACATTGTGAATATCCATTTAGATAAGGTGGTCCCTATTCATTTCTGATATGTATGGAAAATGTGTTTCACTAATTATTAGTCAATTTCACATGAATTTCTTTTCCAGGCATGTTTTGTTTACAGTTACTTCTGATGTTTGTGTTTTTGTTCTTGTCTTTGAATTGTTTTTGGCTTATTAATTTGTGATATTATTCAAATAAATCTTTTGCATTCTAATTTTTTGTTACATATGATGTACTTTTCTTCCTCCAGAGAGTTAAAACTTCCAGTCACTTACTATGTTGTTTTAAAGTCTTATGACCCTGCATGGTATTTGTGTAGATTTGTTTTTGTTTAATTTTCTCTTGTTTTTGTTTTAATGTTAGATAAGTAATTTCCTTCCCATTTTCATCAAGTGATTGATTTCTTTTAAAATTTCTGTTTTGACATGACAGACTTGCCTAAATACTTACCACAACACAATTCCTTTAAAGAGCCTTTTGAGGGGCACCTGGGTAGCTCAGTCCTTAAGCGTCTGCCTTCGGCTCAGGTCATGATCCCAGGGCTCAGGGATCGAGCCCCGCATTGGGCTCCCTGCTCCATGGGAAGCCTGCTTCTCCCTCTCCCACTCGCTCTGCTTGTGTTCCCTCTCACACCATCTGTAAAAAAAAAAAAAAAAAAAAAAAAGTCTTTTGTCCTCTAGGCAGTACCAATGAGGATCCAAAGGAAAGGGGCACTTTTAAATATTTTGTAAAATTTACTAAGCCATTCTTCTCTGTCTTTTAGACTTATTAAACGAGGGGAAAATCTACAACTGTTGCAATGATTATAAACTTAGTAAACTTATATTTGGAGGATCTACAACTCTATTATTACCATGGCTTCAATTGGGCTTTGTATATTTATACTTTTTATTCCCTGTTAGTGTTGCCTTGCTGGGTTGTGGCAGCTTAACAATCAAAAGAACTTTGATTTTAGAAAGGAAAGGAAAAGCAAAAGAAGAAAGAAAATTAGTGAACAGAGATAAAGTTGCAATTCTTAACCGTCCATTATCTCTTTCTTTAGTTAGGAGAGTTGACCTGGTTATGCAATTAATGTTAATTATGAGCCACTGGTTATTAGATGTTTATAAGAAAATTTACCTATTGTTTAGATACATTTATGTCACCATCATTTATTAGATTTTAGTTTTTCAAATTGGTCTTCCCCAGAATTTTTGCATGACCCAGCAATAGTAATTAAGCCATTTTCTTATTGTATATATTGAGCTATTTTCTTTAAATATTACTAATTAGTATTTTATTTAAATTAGCAGTTTTTAAAAATATATACTTAGAGGTGCCTGGGTGGTTCAGTTGGTTAAGCATCTGTCTTCGGCTTGGATCATGATCTCAGGGTCCTGGGATCGAGCTCCACATTGGGCTCCCTGCTCAGCAGGGAGTCTGCTTCTCCCTCTCTCCGGTGTTTTCTCTCTTGCTCACTCACTCTCAAGTAAATACAATCTTAAAAAAAAAAAATTATATATTTTTTTCCTATTTTTTATTTTTGCTGGCTTGAACAAATTAAAACAATGAGTTATCTAGACCTTACATATACACTTAAAAAGAATGACAGAAACAAAATAACCATGTATCTTGGCATTTACTTTTTGAAATGATTAATAAATAAAAATTTAATAAATACAAGATATCCTTATTATGCCTCCCTTATTTGTAATTACAACTACATTTTGGTGACATTACATCAACATTTTTCTTTGAACTATGTTAAGAACTCCTGAAATTTCACAGACCACTGGTACAATAAACCATAATGTAATTATTGCTATTAACTTTTTTTTTTTGCTACTTCTCTGGTGCTCCGATTGTTAAAACTTTATTCCTTTCCATTTTCATTTGGTACTTTATCCTTTCCACATTTTCCCTAGTCTACATAGAAGTTTTTGGATTTTTCCCCCCAAATACAAAAGAATGTTCCAGACCTATCGTATTTATTGCTGCAATGAACCATGAAATTAGCTTCCAATAATGGAATCCTTTTTCAGTTTAGTGGTGAAGAATTCTAATAAATGTAAAAGGGATGAGGGAGATAGGAAAACACTGTAATAACAGTAATAATTATATACAAAATTCATTGATGGATACTAAACTATGAAGGTGAAAGTTTAAAGAGAAACAGGCCATTAGAATTATATCAAAGTATCTATCCCAAATACATAATTACAAGGAGAAAACATTCCATATACCACCTTTTTGAAATGATCACCAGTAGTAAGACAATGGCACATACACTACCCAGAGTGAGGCACTAAGAAGGGCATACCACACGAATAGTATTCTGACTTAAGAAAAAAAGAAAAAAGAAAGAAAAGCATAACCATAATGTAATCATGAGGAAACTGCCGACAAACTGAAAATGAAGAACTTTCTATATAATACCCAGTATTCCAGAAATCCATGACCTTTCAAGGTCATGAGTGGCAAGGGTAGAATGAAAAGCTCCCAAAAGATTGGAGGAGACTGAGGCCATCTGACAACTAAATACAATGCAGGAATTTGGATTTGATCTTCGGAACATTAGTGGAGAAGACTTGGTGAAATCCAAATAAAGCTGGTACTTTAGGGGCACCTGGGTGGCTCAGGCAGCTAAGCACCCAACTCTTGATTTCGGCTCAGGTCATGATCTCAGGGTCATGGGGTTGAGCCTCACATCTGGCAGCACAGAGCCTGCTTGTCCCTCTTCCTCTGTTCTTCCCCCCACTATCTCTAAAATAAATCTCTTTTTTTAAAGGATTTTTTTTATTTATTTATTTTTGACAGAGAGAGGGAGAGTGTACAAGCAGGGGAAGCAGCAGGCAGAGGGAGAGGAAGAAGCAGGCTTCCCGCCGAGCAGGGAGCCCAATGTGGGGCTCGATTCCAGGACCCTGGGATCATGACCTGAGCCGAAAGGCAGACGCTTAACCGTCTGAGCCACCCAGGTGCCCTAAAATAAATAAAATCTTAAAAAAAAGAAGAAAAAAAGCCAGTACTTAACTGATAGTACTATGCCAATGTTAATGTGCTGGTTTTGATCACTGTACCATGATAATGTAATATGTTAATATTATGCAAACTAGGAGAAGAATGTATGGAAATTCTGTATTCTTACGATTCTTCTCTAAGTCTAGAACTTTAAAAAATATATATTGTTTGCAGCCAAAATGGAAAATAGACAGGAGTTACCTTCCTGCCTAAAGTAACAAAACACTAGATAAAATACAAGCAGCAATTTTCAGATATTGAACATTAGACAACAGAAACACCTAACCAAGTGTAAACAAATAGGATATCCATACTTTTGACTCCACTTACTTCCCAGTAGGCATTTCCACATCTCAGCACAGGGAGGAGGAAGACAGGGGGAGCATTGTGATGCAAAGATGGAGATAAGAGTCCAGGGAGGCAGAAAAAGCTAGTCTAGGGCAGACTACGAGAGCAAGTCTTGATCAGTGCATGGAGGTAACTACCTGAAGCCAGCAAAAGAAATGCTTAGAAAAAGCACAGGTAACCCTTGGGAGCTGACACAGCCAGAAATAGTTTGTGTCCCCATCATCCAGAGAGGTAAACTTCGTAATAGACTGGTTAGATTACTTGAAAAGTTAGTGCCTCAATAGAGAAGCAAGTTAGTACTAAAGGCTTTCTGGTCCCACCTGATAAAGTTTAAAGGAAATCTTAATAGGAAAAAACTGTTACTAGGTAACATAGATATATTCCAGAATAAAGCTTGAGTATATTTCTATAATTTTATTTTCTTTAAGATTTTATTTATTTATTTGACAGAGAGAAACAGCAAGAGAGGGAACACAAGCAGGGGGAGTGGGAGAGGGAGAAGCAGACTTCCCACCGAACAGGAAGCCCGATGCGGGGCTCGATCCCAGGACCCTGGGATCATGACCTGAGCCGAAGGCAGACACTTAATGACTGAACCACCCAGGCCCCCCTTGAGTATATTTCTAGAAATACAAAAATACCAAGCACATAGAAGGCAAATTTTATGATGTGTGGCTGGTAGAAAAAACAAAAACAGGAGTGTAAAAATGCAGGAATACATGAGTATCATGAGAAAAATCTATAGGAACACACCCAGAAATGACAAAGATAGATTTTATATTTGATTTGCTAGCTTTTATATTTGGCAGTAGATACTGGCAGTACAACCATCTAAACTATTTTCTACATGCCCAACAAGGAAGAAGAGATTGATCATGGTAAGGTGTTGAAAATATTAAAAAGACCTAAACAAAATTCTAGAAATTAAAAAATGTCTAAGATTTAAAAATACAGTCAATGAGATTAATAGAGTAGACACTATGAAAGAAAACATTAAGCTTGAGAATACAGCAACAAAAACTACAAGCTGAACCAGAAAATCAGACTAATAAAAGTAAATTAGGTAACAGAAAACTACGGGATAACTGCAATCAACTTAATTATTGTAATTGGGAATCCCTGGAAGAGAGCAAAAAGAATGAGCAGGGACACCCCCCCCGCAAAAAAACCAAACAAAACAAAACAAAAAAACATTTACAGAAATAAGTTTTCCAAATTTGGTGAAAACTGTAAATCTGCATACCCAGGAAGTTCAACTCATCCAAGCAAATCACACCAAAGCAATCATAACCAAACTTATTAAAATCAGTAATAACAGAAGAATCTTAGCAGCAGAAAAACAAAAAATCCTACATGCAAAAGAGCAAAGATTAAAAAAAATTGTTCTGGACATGATGGAGTAAACATATTTTACCCTACTCCTCATTAGATATAAGGTCCATGGGGATAAATACATGAAACAAACTTAAGAAGAATCTGAAACAGAACTGATTATGGACTTTGGGACTTAAGGAACAACCCAGCCCAGTGGTGACTTCCTTGGATGAGAGTTGGGTTTTGTTTTTGTTTTGGCTTCAGGTCTGAGAACCAGAGAACATTGCAAATTGGAAATGTCACCACATGTAAACAATTACCCAAAAAACCACACCACACACTAATAACAAGAAAACAAAAAACACCCATGATATGCCTGTTTTCCTCAGACAAAGGGCTGAAAAAGTTGTGGCCCTGCGGAACAAAAAGCCCTTTTGACAATGCCAACTCTATGTTATCTGAATGGTACAAAGGGAAATGCCTGTCTTCCACACCATTCTGCACAACAGCCAGCAGCACCACAACCTTCCAGTAAGTATCTGCAAAGACTGTGGTGTGTGCACAGCCCTATCATCCCAGCCCAGGAATAAGGCAACGTCCCTTCTCCCAAACACTGGGTACATTCAGCTGCTGTATGAGCAGAAACCTGACTGCCAATCCTGGCACATCAGTAATGTGGACCCTACAAAGATGTGAGTGGAACACTGCCATCATAGCCCAGAAATAAAACACGCCTCATCTTCTCCTGGTGGACAGGTGCACTGGGAGGGTGTGAGTGTGATTAGGGCCTTGACTATCATTGTGACCTGGCACTTACTAGCTGGTGTTCCACCCTCTACTAGTTCACAGGCATTTGAAGAGGCAGTGTATAATCAGACGCTGA